TATTATCTTATTACTTAGTAACAACCTGAAACTTTTTTTGGCAGATCCGTGGTTTCTATAAGAGTAACAATATGTAGTAAACAGGTAACATGTGTGATGCTGTTGATGTTACGTACAACCACTTGCCATGATATTATGTTATTATGACGGATCAGAATCAAGCTTTATTGGCCAGGTGTTCTTACGCATTCAAGGAATTTGGTTTTGGTTACAGGAGCTCACAGTGCACAGTACCAGACAGACATTTACATGTAGTGAATAATATAAAATAAATCTAAAATATAACAAAATAATAAAATAAAATAAAACATGCATTCCTACCATCACTCACTCAAACACACACACACACACACACACACACACACACACACACGCAGTCATACCTGTAAACCTTACATTGTGCAAAGTATGGGTCTAAAGTTTAAGTGCTGAGTGCAGCAGCAGTTAAAGGGGTGTATAGTGGCAGAGAAAGGGATCAGTGAGGAAACAGTCCGATAAGTGGGGTAATAAGGCAGGTAAGTAAGATGCTAGAATAAAACACTGGTTTGAGGCGGCAGTTCTAGAGGATGGAGTTGACTCAGATACTATATACCAGTATTTTAAAGGTGCAATTTGAAGCTGGAATATTGTTTTATTTTTGTGTAATATTAACTGTTTAAGAGAGTGATGGCTTGTGGGAAGAAGCTCTTTTGTAGCCTGGATATCCTGATCCTCATCTGGCTGAAGCGCCGGCCTGAGGGAAGGAGCTGGAACAGGTGGTGTCCGGGGTGAGAGGGGTCTGTGGAGATCTTCCTCCTGGGGCAGGTTGAACTTCCTCAGCTGAAGCAGGAAGTACATCCTCTGCTGGGCACTCTTGATGATGGAGCCGATGTTGCTGTCCAACTTCAGGTCCCTGGTGATTGTTGTGCCCAGGAACTTGCAGGACTCTACTGTCACCACAGCTCTGTCCAGGATGGTGAGTGCTGACAGGGCTGGAGGGCTCCTCCTGAAGTCCACTGACATCTCCACTGTTTTCGCTGTGTTAAGCACCAGGTTATTGTGGCTGCTCCAAGGACCACCTGATCAACCACCCATCTGTAAGCAGACTCTGAAGGGGGTCTAGCAGAGGATCTGTGATGTTCTTCAGATGGGAGAGCACCAGTCTCTCAAAGGATTTCATGACTACAGAGGTCAAAGCAACGGGTCTGTAGTCATTCAGTCATGTGATGGTTGCTTTCTTGGGAACTGGAATTATGGTGGAGCGTTTGAAGCAGGAAGGTACGACACAGTTTCAGTGATTTGTTAAAGAGCGCTGTAAACACTGGCGCGAGCTGGTCGGCACTGACCCTCAGACAGGAGGGTGATACACCATCTGGTCCTGGTGCTTTCCACACTTTTTGTCTCCTGAAGAGTCGATGTACATCTTTCTTCCAAATCGTCAGGGTAGGCTGAATATGTGGCTGAATGACAGGAGGGTATGAATCTGTGTTGAGTTAAAGTGTGGAGCTGGGCTTTTCAAACATGCAGTAAAAGGTGTTAAGCTCCCTACCCTGATTGTACAGAGCCCGCTGTACAGTGCCCACTCCTATACGCTGCTTATTTAGACCGGCGCAACTGTTTCAGTCTGGCATTGAACCAGGGCTTGTCATTGTTGTATTTAATGCAAGTCCTGGTGGGAACACAGGTGTCTTCACAAAAGCTGATGTAGGATGTCACTGTGTCTGTATATTCATCCAGGCTGCTTGAGGCATCCTCAAACACACCCCAATCTGTTAATTCCATGCAGTCCTGAAGCCTTTCTTTAGCCTCGGTGGTCCACTTCTTCACTGAGCTGACTACAGGTTTGGAACACTTGAGCTTCTGCCTGTAGGTTGGAAGGAGGTGGATTAGCGAGTGATCGGAGAGGCCCAGAGCAGCACGGGGAACAGAGTGATAGGCCCCCTTTAACACAGTGTAGCAGTGATCTAAATTATTACTCTCCCTGGTGGGGCAGCTAACATGCTGTCTGTATTTAGGCAGTTCGCTAGTGAGTTGCGCTCTGTTGAAGTCCCCTAAAATGATACAAACAGAGTCTATGTGTTTGAGCTACGCGCTGGTGATGTGGTCTGCGAGAACACGCAGCACCTGGGGTGGAATATAGATTCCTGCGAGTATAATAGACGTGAATTCCCTTGGACAATAAAATGGTTTGCAGTTTATAAAAAGTGTTTCCAGGTTAGGGCTGCATGTTTTCGTTGATACTGTGACATCTGTACACCAGCCTTGGTTGATATAAAAGCAGATTCTGCCACCTTTCTTCCTGCCCAAGAGCTCCGTGGAGAGGTCCGCTCTGTAGAGGTTAAAGCCGTGGAGCTAGAGCGCGCTGTCCGGGGTCGACTCAGTGAGCCAAGACTCAGTGAAGCACAGCACAGCAGAGAGAGAAAAGTCCTTGTTGGTTCTGTTTAGAAGGGAAAGCTCGTCAAATTTATTCCCTAAGCAGCAAAGATTCACCATATGAATGCTGGGGAGCGGTGTGCAAAGTCTGCGCTGACGGAGTTTAACCAGCGCTCCAGTGCGCTTCCCGCGTCTGCGTGTCCGTCTGTGCCTGCTGTAGAGAGCAGCCGCTCCGCTCACCAAAATGTCCAAAAAGCAGTCAGAAAGTGAAAAGTCAGGAAAAATGCCTTGTGGCATGGACTGCCTGAGGTTCAGCAGATCTTCTGCGCTGTATGTTAGTGAGACTGGTTCACATACAACAGTACAAACAAACAAAAACAAACAAAACACGACAGAGCTCCCAACCAGTGTTGCCGTCTGCGGCGCCATCTTGGATCATAGAATAAGATAAAATAAAAGGCTCAGTCTCACTCTCATTATAAAATCAGCTGATAGGAAGAATATTCATGTAGACTTACCACAGGATTCAACAGAAGTGCAAACTGTTTAACACGATGAAACAGCTCTCACACGTCAGCTCCACTCACTGTTTAGTCAAATATTATTTTTGTTCATGTAGAAAAGGTTTTTCTTGGAAGGCCGTTTCACAAATTCTCAGAATGTGTGAAATTAAACCTCAAAAACAGCAAACCACTGGAAAGAGGAAGTTGCCGTCACCATGGCTACAGATACTGAGCTCACTTAGCAGAGCTGTAATCATGTGTGGTTTTAGTGCTTCTTCACTTACAAAATGGAAGAATAAGAACATATAGAAGAAAAAACAGCGTCTACAGCATCTTACAGACAAAATGAATATGCAGTAAATCATACAGTGCATATTATTTTTAAATTGATATGATAATGGATAAAAGATGAAAGAAATCTACCCTTTTAGGAAATATTTTACTTTATTAAACACTTCCTGTGATTTTGTGAAAAGTCTTTGTAAGAAAAATACACCAAGCTTTATGTACATATCCATAATAATATTTGAATAGATATACTAAAGTGGAACTAACCTTCCCGTGCTGTTTTCATCTTTCTGAACATGTTGAGCTTCCATACTGTGTTATACTTTGGTGAGGTCACCAATATGCAGACATGTAGGGTGAGAGACCTCGAGGTCAGCAGGTTTAAAAGCATGTTTTTGGGACAGACTTGTGTGAAATATCTTCTTCTCCACCATGTTGGTCTGACAGCTGTAAACAAACCCATCCACTCTGATTGGTCCTAGACTTCATCTCAAGGAATTTTATGATCAGTCAGAGTGGATGGGTTTGTTTACAGCTGTCAGACAAACGTGGTGGAGATAAGAATCACGTGAGGACTGTATAAACACAAGCGTGCTATTTGATACAGGGCTCATATCGGTGTTGGCTTACTGTCCCAAGCCCAAGACAGAACCAGTCTTCTTGATAAGTTTGTTGAGCCTTTTTGCATCTCCCCTCTGATGCTCCCTCCCCAGCAGACTGCTGCCAAGAAGACAGCACCTGCAACAGTAGACTGGTAGACTGGTAGAAGATCGCCAACATCTTGGTGCACTCATTAAAGGACCTGAGCCTTCTCAAAAAGTAGAGACTGCTCATCCCCTTTCGGTACATAGCCTCTGTGTTGGCCCTCCAGTGCAGTTCATTGTCAAGCAGGACACCCAGATATTTGTAGGTGTCTACCAGCTCAGTGTTCTGACCCATGACGGTAATGGGACTGATCATGGTCCTCTTCATCCTGAAGTCCACCACCATCTCCTTGGTCTTGGTCACATTGAGGATCAAGTGGTTCCTCGTACACCACTCAACAAACTTTCCCACAAGGTTGCTATACTCTCATTTCTACCCATCCCTAATGCACCCAACAACCACAGAGTCATCAGGAAATTCTGAAGGTGGAAGTGGTCAGCCTGTATTGGACGTCCATCTTGTACAGGGTGAAGAGGAAGGGGAGAGCACACTTCCCTGAGGTGCTCCAATGCTGCTGACCAGATGGTCTGACAGGCAGGTTTTCAACCACACATACTGGGGTCTTCCCGACAGGTAGTCCAAGACCTATGCAATCACAAACTTGTCCACCTGCATTTTGTCCATCTTCTCCCCCAGCATGGGAGGATGGATGTTATTGAATGTACTTAAAAAAAAAAAAAGAAAGTGATTCTCACTATGGTGTTGCATTCAAAAATATTTAAAAAACAAACACTTAAAACTAAACTGTGACACAAACCAAGAACTGTACTACAGCTTAGCATCACATAGTCCGCACAACCCACCACAATGAAAGGCTGACAATTAATCTGGATCTCAAATTGGTATCTTTTTTTCCAGCATCAGATTTACGAATGTCTGTGTTATCAGTCAGGCTTTGCTGCAAAAAAGATGTTTTATCCTGATTCAGAATCAGTTTTGTACACATTCATAACGACTTTAACTGTTAGATCAGAAACAGTAAAACTGATCTCAGATCATTTTCTACCCACAAGGACAAATGCATTAAGGAGGAAGTGGCTGACTGGTTACTAAGATGGTTAAACTGTGTAGTTTCCAAGACGGGCCAAAGGGGGGTAAAGAGAGAGAGAGAGAGAGAGAGAGAGAGAGAGAGAGAGAGAGAGAGAGAGGGAGAGATGGGTGGGGCTCTGTCACTTCAGGAAGTCTTAAAGCTCTCATGATAAACTTAAGCGTCATGTACATTGTTTGCTTTGTCAGGTATAAACTGACCTGTTAGATATTTGAATCATGACCATCATCTGGATCATCATCTTCATTCTGACGCCTGGTGAGTTTTTCCTCTCACATCTGTGTTGAGTTTAAGATGATCTTTACAAACTCAGAAACACACAGTGTGTTAGATCAGTGACTGATAAAGAACAGAATATTCCCTCTTTCACTCATATTTATCACTGTTACTGTCTCAGTGAGACGTTTCTGTGTAGAGTTTCAGTCACTCGTGTTCTACAGCTGACTTTTCAGACTAAACAGTCCTGAGTAACGTCTCAGTCTCAGAGTTCGTTTATTACTTCTATACAACATGTTCTCTTTTACAGCTGGAATCAGTGCTGTAACTACTGTAACTGGACACAGAGGACAGTCAGTTCAGATTAAATGTTCCTACAAGTCTGGATATGAAACCAACATAAAGTATCTCTGCAGAGGAGAATGTTCTGCTATATGGGGAACTAAAGACATTCCTGTTCGGTCTGGATCTGCTGAAGATCAGAGATTCTCTCTGGATGACCACACAGCAGCCAGAGTCTTCACCATCACCATCACTGATCTGAGACCAGAGGATGAAGGAACATACTGGTGTGGGATACAGAGGACTAAAGCACTTCCTGATCTTTACACAGAGATTCTATTACTGGTTAAACCTGGTGAGTGACAGACGGTTCAGACTAATAAACAGAGAAACAAATACAATACATTTTCCTGTGTGTTCAGTGAGATTTTAATGCTGAAAGATGAATTAATTTTATATTGTCTCTATTTCTTTTTCTTTAGATACGCCTACTACTGTCTCTCACTCCACATATTCTCCTCCATCAGTGCAGACACAATCCACACATCTCTCCAGTTTTCCATCCACAGGTATGAGCTCTTTCTCTCAGTCTGTTTTCTTACTTGTGTCTCCATCAGATTATCCATCAAATCAGTGCCTGTTGATCTATGACGTCTGTACTACGAAAACTTATTTATCGATCCTAAAACATAGCTTAATAGGCAAATGGCAGGTTGCGTTATATAAAAATGAATGAAGAACTGCATCAAGCTCTTTCTAGCTCTCTGAATTGTTTTAGTATAATAATCTTTTTAAAAGTATTATTGAATCAAAGCACCTGATCTGAGCTTATATTTCAGCTCCCAAACATTTCTGAAGTATAAAACTATTCGGTTATTGGTTATTATGTTCAAAAATAAATAAGTGACAGAAAACTATATATTAAAAATAAAAAAAATTCTATTCAGAATTCTATATAATTCTATTCAGATAATCTTTATTAGAGGTTAAATTAATACAGAAGAGCTTATTTACTCCATGCAAATGACTTCATTGCATATTACAAAACATAGACTACTGCACAAAGTAATAGCTAGTGCTCCTGCATAGCTGAGTTTATATGTTTTCAAATTAAAGGGGCATTCCACCAAATTTTAAAAATTTCTGTAGATTTTAATCTTTAAGAGGAAAGTTGTTCAGAGTGGATTCATGTAAAATGGTTCATGATAGAGAAACTTACTGACATTGATTTCTTCACAGTGGTGGTGAGAGGAACCAGGGGTCACAAAGTCTACAACAATAATGTCTACAACAATATAGACATTTCATTTACTATCCAGAAATGTGTTGTGTCTCCTTCAGTTGTGTTGATAAAGATAAAATGGCAGTAAATCTGAAATCAAACAATCAAACGCTATTTAATCAGAGGCACTGAAGCATTTGCATTCGACTGTACCTCTCTGCTATGAATATATCTTAAACAAACACATAAGCATTATAAGTAATATGTTTCTGTGAGGGAACCTTTAGAGGCATTAAACTCTCCAGACGTCTGGCTCCCATCACCACCACTGTGAACAATTCTTTTCATTAAAGATTTCATTCCAAACCACTCTGACTTTGTTGAGATCCAGCCAGCCTGTCCATGTGGGCCGATGTGGTTTTTAACTGGGTGTTTTACCTGCACATGAGCTTGTAGTGAATAATAGCCCAGTTGTGTGTCCCAGTTAGTCTATAGTCATATATGTTCAGAGCTGTATGAGCCAAGATGCTTCATGCAAGTCTGAGTTGAGTCTCCAGCTTTATGCTGTAAAGAGGTGTATAAGACAGTATCAGCAGCAAACAGGATGATAAATGTCTAAGTAACATGATGTCACTGTCATTTTAAGAATGTCTCTATCTTTAGATCCTCCAAAAAATGTCTCAGTGTCCATCAGTCCCTCTGGTGAAATAGTGGAGGGCAGTTCAGTGACTCTGACCTGCAGTAGTGACGCAAACCCACCTGTGAAGATCTACACCTGTTTTTTTTTTGTTTTTTTTTAATTTTTTACCCGATTTTCTCCCCAATTTAGTCGTCTCCAATTCCACCCACTAGTTAGGACTCCCCCAATCACACGATACTATCAACGCTAGGAGGGTGGAGGCTAACACAGGCTTCCTCCGAGACCTGTGAAGCCAACCACCGCTTCTTTTCGAGCTGCCGCTCACGCAACGTCACTGGACAGCCGAACGCGCTCGGAGGAAAGCGCCAACCGCCAGGTCTGTTACGTCAGCTAACAGATGCCTGCGCTAACTAGCATCGCGCTGAGTGATGGGGGGAGAAGGAGGGGCCATCCTACCCACCCAGAGAGAACGAGGCCAATTGTGCTCTCTCTGACTCCCGGCTACGGATGGCTGTAGCATCACCAGGGATCGATCTCCTGATGATAGGGCCAACGCTTAGATGGTTTTGCCACTCGGGAGCCCCTTACACCTGGTTTAAGGGATCAACATCAGTAGGAGAAGGAAAAACCTACAGCATTCCCAACATCAGATCTGAGGACAGTGGAGAATACACATGCCAGAGTCAGAATGAACATGGAGAGAGAAACTCCACTGCTGTGCAGATTAGTGTTCTGTGTATGTTGATGATGATTTCTCAGGTTTCATTAAGTGATTTCCTGACACTCATTTTCCTCAAAGATCTTTTTCTTGTCTGCTGTAGATCTTCCAAAGAATGTCTCAGTGTCCATCATTTCCTCTGGACACATACTGGTGGGCTTTTCAGTGACTCTGACCTGCAGCAGTGATGCAAACCCACCTGTGAAGATCTACACCTGGTTTAAAGAAGGTGGAACCTCACCTGTAGGATCTGGACACAGTTACAGTCCTCTACAGAGTGGATCTTACTACTGCAAGGCTCAGAATCAACATGGAGCTCAGAGATCAGATCTGGTGCCAGTCGATTTATATGGTGAGGCACACGACTGTATGAATTTTTATTTGAATATGTTCCAGTTTCTGTATAAAATGATTAATAATTATTTATTTAAGTCATTCATTCCTTGTGCTTTAAAACTATGACACTGTATGCAGTTTCTGGTTATGAACGTGTTTGTTAGAGCACTGTTCTTTTCAGCAGGTTACTCAGTGATTCTGTATTCAGCTGTTGGAGTCGCACTTTGTGGGGTGGTAATTTTTCTCGCTGTAGTTTTCTGGAAGAGGTGAGAAAATTATGCAGAGAAAATGAAGTTAAATACAGTTACTAAATTACATCACTGGTTGCAACTATGTTGTTGAAAAAATCAATGTCTTTATATCATGTATTATAAACACTAATGCACATAAAATCTTTGTTTCTTTATGGAGCCTCTGAGGGAACATTTTTTTTTTGGTAAAAATCTGGTTCTCACCTGAAAGGACCTGGTGTGTGTGAGATTCTTATCTAAAAGGAATTCACCACATGGTTTCAGACTCTTCATATTATGTTATTTATTTATTTTTTGTGAGCAGGAGGAAGAGGCAAAGCAGAAATATGGATGACCCAGACTATGAGGTGAGTTCTCACAATATTCTAGATATAAGTCAGTCAGCGGTCGGTCCTTTAACCCTCCTGGTTCCCTTGGCTAAAATGTGACTCTTTTCTGCAGAGCACAGTCCTCAGACCCCAGCCTCCTGATGATGACTCTTGCGGTGTTGAGGACTATGAGAATGTAACAGTGAGTTGCATAAACACTGTTATTACATCACCCTCCAAAACCATTTTAGAGAATGAAGAAAATGATGATCTCAGTGTTTTTGGATTAAGTGAATATTTATGTACTCATCATTCTTTTACTGGCCACTGGAAATATTGATTTTTTTAACAGTAATTCTACTTTAATAATGCAAGAGGAACTGCTGTATTATGAAAAACTGTTTATAGGATGAAATCTCGACCTTAAGCATTTTCTTGAGATTATACTACAGTTTTATGTTTAATTTTATGAATATATTTTGACACAATTATGACACAAAAGAACAGTTTTTAAAATATTCATTTTCTCTGCATGAATAAAATAGCTCTGGTCTAGCACTGCTGTGCATAAAGGCTACTAAATGAGGTATCACAATGCAAAAATGTTCAGTATGTCTGCACTGGAAACATATTCATCTAGACTAAATATAAACAAACTATGATCTTATCAGCTAACAGGTTGAGAGAATTAGAATTTAAAACATGGTACCACTGACTAAACCTTCCAGCAGGCAAACAATATCCTTGTAAACATTAGAGGAAAGATCATACAGCTCACTGTTCTCCACTTCATGGATCAGTTTATCCTCATCTGTCTTTGGCCAGTTTAACTGTGTTTTGACAAAAGACAGCAATACTTAGTGTTTTAGGTGGAACATCAGTGTAAAGCAAATTGTTGCCCTTGGCTGAAAAATAATATTCTTTCTGTTTTGATCTGTGCCTGTTCTGCAGAAAGCAGGTCTCAGAGCCCCGCCTCCTGATGACGACTCATCCAGTGCTCAAGACTACGAGAACATTACAGTGAGTTCCAGATATTTAGCTGTAATTACACCACAGTCCAACTGCATTTTAGAGAATACAGACAGCAAGTAATGACACAGATCTCACTCCTTTAAGATGAGGTGATTATTTTCCTACTCGTCATTCTTTTACTGGTGTAGGATGGTAACATGGTAAGGATTAATCATCCACTTCTAGCATTTTATTGACATTTCACCACAGTTTCATTCTTGATTTTTTATTAATAGACTTTGAGTAAACTGACAAAAAATAGATTTTAACAAGAAAGTTTGTTTTTATTCTGTGAGGAAACAAAGTTCCAATCTAGAGCTGCTGGATATAAACATGACTGGATAAAATATCATAACACAAAATGTTCATGATGTTTACACTGGAAACATATTCATCAGACAAATCATAAACGACCTATGAATGTATCAGTTTAAGAGAACAAGTTTTATATTTTATATGCGAGTTACACATTTTAAAGCAATATCAGAAACTCACAGTAGAACGAAAATATGCTACCACTGATTAAAACTTCCAGCAGGTTAGCAATGTCCTTATAAACATCAGAGGAAAGATCATACAGCTCACAGTTCTCCACCTCATGGATTAGTTTGGATTACTCCTCATCCATTTTAGGTTTAACTGCAGTGTTTAGCCACCCAAGTCAATCAACCTTTATTTCAACTTGGAAGTACATTGAGGTTGACAATAATTCACAATTCCTCATTCGCAGCGTCGTGGAGCAAATTATACAGGGATTGAAAAAGTTGGAATGGCAGGCCTGAAATATCAATAAAATATATCATGAAAACACAATAAAATTAAGGAAAGGAACCAACTTAGATAATACAAAATAAACTTTCAAAAAAAACTAAAATTTTAGAAAACAAAAAAATATTTACTAGAAAAGAAGAGTAAAAGCAGTTACCACAAATAAAACAGGTGCAATAAAACAGTGATATAATAAATAAAAAGGAGAAAGAAAACAGTTTGAGGTTGTCTGAATGTGGTTAGAGGCTAAAAGTTAAAAATGTCTGAGTGACTCCAGGGAGCAGAGTTTTAGAGAATCCTGTAGTGAACTTCGGCTTACAGGGGCTCTGTAGCTAAAAGCAGATTTTCCCAGTTCAGTAAAAACTCTCGGTACCTGACAGGTGATCCAGTCACTAGAGCAGATCTGATAATTATTGTTATTTATAGATATCATAGATGCGAGATAAGCTGGCATATGGCTGGAGAATAATCTGCAAATAAAAATAAGCCAGTGTAATTCTCTTCATGCAGCTAGTGAGGGGCAGCCAACTTTATCATACAGTCTGCAGTGGTGAGAGTTATAAGGGTCGCCACTAATGAATGGCAAGGTAGAGTGATAGAGCCAGTCTAGTGGTTTAGAGGCACTGGCGGATGCATGTCTGTAGACTATGTCAGCGTTGTTTTGATATAGGAATCCAAGCCTCAATCTGCACTTATTAACTAGTTTATAATTTAATTTGTTAATATAAGATTTAAATGTAAGCTCCCCATTCAGCCAAATGCTGAGGAACTTAAACTCTGTGATTTGCTTAATGCTGGATCCTGTCAGGTAGTAATATTCACAGTGGAGAACAGCATATGCTTAGTTTTCTTGGTATTTGGAACTAATTTGTGTATATAATTAAAATAATACTGGACCCAGGATTGAGCCTTGTGGGACTCCTTTGGGTGTGTGAGTTAAATCTGATTTGTGGTTACCCAGTATCACACATTGTTTCTTATCTATGAGGTAGTTTTCGGTTCAACCTAAGAACCTAAGAACTCAGCCGGGAATCATCAACATTGAGTATCTTATTGTGATTATGCCACTGTTTCATTCTTACTTTGTATTATTATATTTTGAGACAATTCTAACATAAAACAGATTAACAAGAAAGTTTTACCTTCTGTGAAGAAAAATAGATCTGATCTCACACTGTTCATCTGCTAATAACAGCTACGACACAAAGTATTGCAAAGCAAAACATTCATGATGTCTACATTGGGAAAATAACTACATATTTAACATGTGTAAAGCACAGCAGATTAGTAAACAAAAAAAGTAATATTAGTTTCTCCTCATATATTGGCCAGTTTATCTATGTTTTGATCAAAGGCAGCAGGCTTAACTTAAGTATTTAAGGTGGAACCAAGTCCAAGTCCTGGTGCCCTTTGCTAATATCTGACCTGTTCTCTAACTCTCTGTTCTCAGGACATAGGCCTCAATGCTCCGCCTCCTGATGACAACTCATTCAGTACTGATGACTATGAGAATATAACAGTGAGTAACAAACATTAATGTCTTATTACACTGTAATTACACCACAATCCATCTACATTCTTAGAGAAAAGAGAAACAAGTAATGACACAGATTTTAGTACTTTACAGATGAAGTAGATGATTTATCTACTCACCATTCTTTACAGGTCACTGGTAAGAATTAAAGAGGCATACATATATATCACTAGTTTTACATTAGTATAAACTGTACAGCCAGAGTAGTCAGAGCACAGAGTAGGTCAGCTCATCAGTGTCAGTACTTCACTAAATAGCCTAGCTTCAAATGCAGTACTGTAATTATACCACACATTATACCAAATAATTAATTTTTAATTTTAATTATTAGATTCTAAGACAATTGTGACACAAAACAGATTAATAAGAAGGATTATTTACACTCAGTTTAAAGCAGTATCTGTAGTTCATTAAAAACATGGTACCACCGATGGAAACTTCTTGCAGGCTAGCAATGTCATTATCATCATTAGAGTAAAGATCATACAGCTCACTATTCTCCACTTCATGGATTAGTTTCTCCTCATCTGTTTTTTGATCAGTTTAATCCTGTTTCAACAAATTGCTAAACAATATTTAAAGTGGAAAACCAGCACAATGCCCTGCAATGCGACATGTCAAAAACAGAAATGGGGTGTCGGTGGTTGGTTGTGATTAGACCTCTATGGGCCCAAAGCCTGACTTGAACAAACACAGACACAAGCACAAAACACAAAAAGCAGCCAGAGTACAGAGAGGTAAACCACTGATATTTCTAGAGAAAGTTAAAACTCTACACCTCAAGCACAGCTGCTACAGAATCCAGCCCAGGGTTATGAATCACAACCCAAACCTGGATGATGGTGGCCAACACTCCCAAACACAGTACCTTCCCAAACTGCTTCAGCTTTCTATCACATAACCTGTAAACATTCACATCACATACTTGAAAAGGCAACTGAAAACCTTTACTTAGTGTTTTAGAACTAAATACAGTCTGGTTAAGCATGCGCAGAGCATCATGGGAACAAATGCATGCTCTAACACCACAATATTGCCTGCATAAAAATATCCATGAAAAGTGTCTTTGGAATTTTAACAAGAAGTTCAGAATTTTATCCACCTTTTGCTTTAATGACAGTGAGAACTGGAGCTGGTAATGAACTCCACAAGTTTGTACAAAAGCCTCTGATGAGCCGATCAAATCCACCTAAGAGTGGTCCAAACATGAGCTTTAATGAAGAGATAAGACCCAAAAAATCTTTGTACAAAGGCCATAACATGATCAATTTCACAAATTTTGCTTAAATTTGAATAGTGACCTTAAATTAGTGCTTAAGAGTCTTAAATACTTTTTTGGCTTCATTTTTCTTTGTTTATTTTTTTCAAACTTCTAAAGCTTCCTATTTATTTTCAGGCTTAAAATGAAAAACATCGCAGATTTTCCATGTGGTCTCAGACTTTAGGACCCCAAAAGCACAAGATTCTCTTCTTTTAAGATGGAACTTACATCATATCCTTTGCTCAGTAATATCACTCATTAAAATGTCATCAGACTGTATCAATTTCTTCTACATATTCTATATTTTAATATTGTAGCCTCTAGTTTTACTGTTATTTACAGTTTTATTCACAGTTCCTCTTATTTTGTCTATATATTGTGTTTTCACTTTTGACATTGTCTTATTTTATCATTTTACAGTTTTAATATGATCTTGGGTCATACATGAATAGAACATGTATTTTCTTATTATTATTGTTATTATTTATTTATTTATTTTATGACTACAAGTGAATGTGTGTCGATTTGCACAATAAATATCCAGTTGCTCTGAGCAGAGAAACAGCGCCCACCTTCTGTCAGTTCACAAACTGCAGACAAAGACACCAGTGATGACGTCAAACCTTGCAGACTCTTAAAGTGGCAGTAGAGACACTAACTAGACCTCTGAATAGAAAATATTAAGTAAACCTCTAGTAAATACCTATCAAAATTAGGAAACATGTATTCTGCCATATACATCCCTGTTTCCAAAAAAAAAGAAAAGAAAAAAAGTTGGGACGCTGTGCAAAATGTAAACAAAAACAGAAACCAATGATGTGCAAATCATTTAAACCCCATTTTTAATTACAAATAGCACAAAAACAGCATATATATGTTGAAACTGAGATATTGTATTGTTTTTGAAAAATATATGCCCATATTGAATTTGATGCCAGCAACACATTTCAAAAAAGCTGTGATGGGGATGTGTTTAATGCAGTGCTGCCTGAGGGCCTGAAGTTCATGGCCAGCCAGTATTGTATTGTATTTTAATGATATTATGTACCGCACATGATGAAATACACAATTCTTTGCTATTTTTCATTGAAAAATGTTATTCTTGAATTGTTGCACTATTTGCAAGAAGTCGTTCACAGAGTGGTGAACCCCTCCTCAGCTTTACTTCTGAAAGACTCTGAGATGCTCTTTTATACCCAATCATGTTACTGACCTGTTTCCAATTCCACCAGCATTACATAACTTAATCACTAGTCGGGAATAAAATAGAAAAATAGTGGAAACAAATATTTTTTTCTTGTCTTTTTCATTAATAAGGGAACGCCTAACATCTGCTTAATCAACATATCACCCCAATTCTTTTAAATCATTATAGGATTATATAATATTAGCGTTATTACTCCAAAACAATGAAGTAGTTCTACTAAGGTTAAATGATATTAGTGTTTAAGTTGTTGTTATAATCATTAAAGACATTGTTGTTTCTTACTCATAATGTGTTTAAATGGTCAGGTGCACTATGATGTTCAGACACAGTTACAGGCTGTAATTACAGTGGAACTAAATGTTATTGCAGCTGTCAAATCCAAACTTACTTCTTTCTATAATTTCTCAGTTTCTGTATCTCATATAAGGTGAACACATCAGTTCATCAGAATAATCCAGCTTGCTGCATAATGACTAAATTACTGTAATATAACGATAGTTCTATTACATGTACATACAGGCCAATCTACACATAGTGTAATTATACAGGAACAGATGAGGTAAATATACTGAGATACACACAATCTGAAAAATACAGCATCATAGATGATACCTGTTAACCACACACTGTTACTCTTATAGAAACCACAGATCTGACAAAAACATCATATGACATAAATGTTTGTCTTATAATTCATTAACATTTTTAGATTTGTTAATACAATCTCTGTAAAGTAAAATGCTGCTTTTCTGATTTACAGATAAAAGTTTTCGGGATTGATAATATACTGAACTTAATTCTTTAGCTGCAAATCAGACTTGATGGAAACGTTAAATCAGACTGACGAAAAGTAAACTGGGAAAACAGAAGATCATCACTGTTTGACATGTAGGGGGAGCTCTAACACTCTATAATGAACCTGTAGAGTCTCATGTAGAGAGATGCAGAGAGAGATACATGCCAAGCCCCCCCCCCCACCTCTCTCTCAGTCTACCCACTCTGTTTATGTGGAGGTTCATCATACTGAGGACTGTTCCAGAATAATTAGAAAGGAGTGGAATTGATCATCTGACTGGAAAAACATATTCATGCAGATTTACTACAACATTCTCAACAGAAGTGCAAAATGTTTAACATGATGAAACAGCTCACACTCGTCAGCTCCACTCACTGTTTAGTCAAATATGACTTTTGTTTATGTGCAAAAGGTTTCCAGCATTTTTCTCACAAGGCCGTTTCACAAATTCTCAGAATGTGTGAAATTAAACCTCAGAAACAACAAACCACTGGAAAGAGGAAGTTGCCGTCACCATGGCTACAGATACTGAGCTCACTGAGCAGAGCTGCAATCATGTGTGGTTTTAGTGCTTCTTCATTTGCAAAACACAAGATTAAAAACATATAGAAGAAAACAGATTCTACAGCATCTTACAGACAAAATTAATATGCAGTAAAATATTCAGTGCATTTTATTTTTTAAATTGATAGGTAAATGGATAAAAGATGAAAATATCTACCATTTTTGGGGGATTTACCTTCACCACACACTTTCTGTCTTTGTGAGAAAAATGCACCAAATTTTATTTCAATATCCAAAAAATATCTGAATAGATACAGTAAAATGGAACTAAGCTTCCCATGCTATTCTATTCATCTTTGTAAACATGTTGTGCTTCCACAGTGTGTTACACTTCAGTGAGGTCAGCAATATGCAGACATGTAGGGTGAGAGACCTCGAGGTCAGCAGGTTTAAAAGTTTTTGGGACAGATTTGTTATAAACAGACCATGCCTGTACTATAACTGGTGAAATTGCTATAAATCATATCTGTATTTTAACTCACATCTGAATATCTTCCTCTCCACCATGTTGGCCTGACAGCTGTAAACAAACCCATCCACTCTGATTGGCCCTAGACTTCATCTCAAGGAATTGTGGGAATGCAGGTGAGGATCAGTCAGAGTGGATGGGTTTGTTTACATCTGTCAGACAAACGTGGTGGAGATAAGAATCACATGAGGACTGTATAAACACAAGTGAGCTAGTTGAGACTCAGCTTATAGTCCACTCTGGTAGCACTTTACTAGAACCCTGCCAAATAACACTGACATAACCATCTATAAACATGTCATGGAAGATGCTGTATTTATTTGTCATGACAGATTCTGTTCAGTATAACATTATAAAACATTGTTATGTTAATTCTGGTAATTATCATGACAGACACCATAATGTTTGATGTTATGACAGCTTATGCTGATTTTAGCTAAATGTACTTTAGTCAGCCTTCTGAACATAATCTGCCCTAAGGGGCAGTGTCAGAGCAGCTCTCCCAGCTCAGGAAACAAACGTTCATGAACACATATTCAAATAAAGTATAAATATTATAAACTTGAAACAAAACTGTGACACAAACCAAGAACTAAACTACAGCTTAACATCACAGAGTCTTCACATACAACAACACTGAAAACATGATAATTAATTTGGACCTCAAATTGGTGAGTCTTGCATGTGAACATTCAAATGGAGGAGGAGGAGGATTTGCTGAGGAAGTAGAGGCCAGAATGAGAGTTGAGGACGGAGAAGCTAATGTTGTATTTTTTCTTCTTATTCCCTGCCCTGTGGATTAAATTCCCACCATTAGATATGATTAATCTCTACCAGATTCACTTTGATGTT